AGCAGGCAGACAGCACGAGCGCGGCCAGGTTTTTACGTGACGCAGGGCACGTGGGCCTGAGTCTAAGCACGCTCAGACTGTGCTGAGTAGCACATGCAGACTGCAAGCTATTTCTTAGGCAGGATGTTTTAGCGGCAACTTCAGCGTTCCTTGAAGCCTAATGGGCCTCTCGTGTTGAGCACCCTACCAGCGGGAAGTTTGACAACGAAGACAGGCCAGTATAGAAAATTCACACACACAGCCAAGGGCCCAGAACATTTTTCATGACTACGACTAGATATCAACCGCTATTGCTGTCCAGCAACAGGCTAAGATAGCGACGATAAACTGCAAAACTGGTCTTGCTGACACTCATCTAAGGCACTAGTTTCTCATGACACTGCAGTTTTGCAACACATGTTTTTAAGGGCAGAGTTTTTGTTGGATTGCCCCTGTTGCAGGGTCATACTCAGCAGGCTGCAGCTAGATAAGGATATAGCTAAATGTACAGTTATCAGATGTTTGATACTGTAATAAACTTAATTAGATTTTCCTAACTGCGATAAGAAAACCAGAGAGAAGTCCAATGCCTAGATAAGGCAATTACCTCACGAGAGGAATTGTTTCCCTGCTTGAGCTAATATCACTAAACATTTGGAAGATGTGATCATATGCAACATGGGCCATGGGTGGAAGAGCCCAAAGCCCCCTCCCCATCAGCAGCTGAGACAGCAAAGATGGCTCAAGACACCCCAACTAGCCACTGCTGGAGTGGTTACTTTACCATTATGCTACGGACACGCAAGAAGCCCAACACTGAGTCAGCCCAGTGTACAAAAGCAGCCAGTCAGAAGGACAAGTTGGGAAAGCGAAGAAAGCTAGGCCAAAACCAGTGGTGATGCTTCAGCTACAGAGCGGTCTTCAGACTGTGCCGGTCAGCTGTCATGACAGTACAAGCTTCAGATCTGGGGCACAACTGGGGTGCTGCTAGATGCACCTCCTGGTGTTATGGACCTTCCTGAGTCAGTGGAAAGAAACCTGACTGTGCTTATCAAAACAATTATGCTCATAATTAGTCCTGCAATTCTCTAGAAGCCGGGCAAGTTATTTAATTAGTTTATGGCTTTGGCATTTTTATCTACCTATGCCCTTGCCAGCCTCTGCACTATGGAACCTGCGCAAATCAGCGCCACGAGAACAGAGCGAGGCCACTAGGCAGGCGGTGGGAGATGCCCCCACCCCGGCCAGTGAGCCCGCACCCTGGCTTAACCCTTCGCGTGAGGCAGGACTCCTCCCTTTGAGGCAAGGCTTCAGAGAGGCTCACTCACCGGGTGCATGTCGAGGAAGAGCGCGTGCTGCTCCTTGTTGGGGTGCAGGCCGTCAACAGCGTTCACCAGGAACGGGTCAGCGTTGTAGAAGTGCGGGTGGGAAAGGAACACGGGTGCATCTGGATGAGAGCAAAACCATCTTCAGCTCAGCCAAGCCCATTTGAGAATTTTGTTGATATTTTTAGCCATGGCAGCATTGGTTCGGAACAGGCTTTAAGATAAGTTGTTTCTACCATTCCCCTCCCATTGAGAAGGTTCCTTTCCATCCTGCAGCTTATCCCAGTGCTTGGGAAAGGCTAAGACCTAGGTTTAAGCTACCATCTCCCTCCCAAACACACCATTCAATGCTGTGGTAACTTGCTGTGCCTACACACGGGTCAGGACACTGAAGTTCAGGTTCGCTCCTGTGTAACCTGCACCAGTTGTCCAACATTAAAGTTCATTTTGGCAGTTATGTGGCAGGCCCTTGCTCGGGTGAGCAAGGGCCTCTCTCCTCTGCCTGCTCCCTCCCTCCCCAATTTGGGGGAAGAAAGGCTCCCACCATCTTCTTGAGTGCTCCAGAAGATACAGGGCTGTTGTGGGGCCACAGGCAAAGGGGCTTTGGGCTCAAGGATTTTCCCCCTTCCCTCCTTCTTTGTTCAGAGGCTTGCAGGACCACAAACAAGAAAGCCGTGCAAGTGGACCCTGCGGTATTTTTTAGTGCTCTGGCACGTGGCTGAGCAGATTTTCTAGATAGGAGGCCTTGTACCACTTCCCTGCAGGTAAGTATTAGTACGCTAAGGGTATGGCAAAGAGGGCCTGAAGCACGGAGAGACCAGAGGAGGGAAGGACATACTCAGCCTGCAAGAACTGACGTTCTGGACACCAGACTGCAGGCAGGGGCAGAAGCCTTCGTTGGGTGGGTAGTCCGTGCTGTTGGCAAAGAGCGTCTTCGGCGCCACAAAGCGATAGGTGGGCACACCTTCAAACTCCCCAGACTGCTCGTACACCAGTTTCATAGACCTAGAAGGGTTTCGGTGGAGAGGAATTAGGATTAGCCAACAGCCAAAAGGTTCTGAGAACAGAACCGGGTTCTTATCTTCACGGGATAAGATCACAGTTGCAATGTAACTTAGACTTTGAGATCAAGATAAACACTCAGCGCAGTGCTTTGGATTTGGAATGAGCATTTAAGCCATTTGTTTTCCATGTTTTAAGCACAGCTAAAGGGTTGGTCATGACTAGCTATGGAAAGACACGCAGGCTTATAAATCTGTTTGCAGAAGCCAGATGAGATTTGTTTAAGGGCATGTAATAATCCCCAAAGATGCTCTCCAGAGAGATAATACCTTCTTTGTGCAAGGGTTGGCTCCAAGGCAGACGTGCTCTGTCAAAGGAGATGGACACTGGCTAAATCTCTGCTTTTGCAGCATGACTTCAATATGTAGGCCACGAGGGGAGTGAAAAAGCTTACCTTAAACTATATCACGCAGCCAGATTTTCTCTGGGTACAGCAGGCCAGTTATTTTGTGCTGCATCATTCAAACCAGCTGGTCAGTGTAGATGCAAGTTTCCAGGATGGAAGTTTCCCTCCTTCACACCCAAGCAAGACTTGTGGAGATACACCCTGGCTAGACCAAGGGGGATGCTTATCCCTATAGCTGCCTTCCAGCACCGAAACCCAGGACGTGGGATTCGAAGCATGTTCAGCAGTTGCAGGCGTGCTTCTCAGCTGTGGTTGCCTTCTGGCAAGGTGGCAGAAGCTGCTGCAGTACATCAGCAGGGTAAAACCTAGCCTACCTTGTGAGGGCATCCCTGTAACCACTTCTCCATCTATTGGCTGCACTTGGGGTGCAAACTGCGAGGAGACCAGCCACCCCCAATACCCCCCATCGGGGGGGCAGATGGACTCTTACTCTAGCTCAGGACAACTGGACTCCTAAGCAGTTTTCCTTTTAGCCCAGGGAGCCACATTGTTTTCCTGAAAAGAGGCTAGGGTGAGGGCTACCTTATTCTCTTAGAGCTGAAATTTATAATTCCTCCTTAGGCCTGGCTTAGCTGGGCCAGCAGAGAAGCTGCTAAAGTGGCTTTGCGGAGAACAAACAGCACTGGTTTGTGAAGAGACAGAGGGTCATCAGCAAGCCTGAGCTGCTTCCTCTGCAGGACCCACTTCCCCTGCATCACGTCCTGTGGGAAGCTTTTGCACCCTAACTAGAGTCCCATCATGACTTCTTTCACTTCACTTTATGCCTTGCCAGAAAACATATACTCAGTTCCCTAGAAGATTTTTCTAATTTTACAGCAACAGACAGCTTTATTTAACCTTTGATTACTCGTAAAATTTCCTCCAAGTCCTTGGCTCCAGGTCATTTGGGTGTTTGCTGATGCCTCTTGTGCACTAATACTTGGCTCAGCTGACTTTGCTGGTTAGCTGGAAGAGGTCATTGTTCTCCAGCATGAGCGCTCTGCTTGTTTTGCAGCACTAACTGCAAAGCCTGAATTAACATTATCTCCCCCTAGCTGGGGACAGGGCTTTGTGCCATGGCCTGCCTCCTCTACTTCCCCTCATTCCCACTTTAGGAAGTTTCAACATGAGCGGGGCAGAATCTGCAGGGCACTTTAACCCCTGCTTGGTCAGCTACAGTCAATAGTGCATGAGGCAGAAGGCTAGAACAGAAATGAAGCAGCCTGGAAATAGCATTAGCTCTTCTGACATTATTTCTGCAAGCAATTAGCCAGCTGCAAGTTCTGTGATCAAATGGTTAGAGCTAAATTTCCTTAAGATAATCCTCACTTATCCATTCTTCCTCCCACACTTTATCTACCTCGGTCATTTCCTGCTCATTCAACAAGTGTAAGTTAGATTTCTCCAGGGAGCTAAGATATTTCTATGACTATCACAAGATGCATCTAACTGGCCAGCTACATTGTTTGCGAAGCTCATATGCTGCAAGACTGGACTGTAACTGAAGCTTTAGTTACAGAAACTGCTCCCTAGTCCTCTGTGCCATCACACGATAACTCCGTTTCACTCTGCGTCAGCCCTGTGTTTCTGAGCACCTGCACGACTAAGGGGTGCCGGTGCTCCCTGCATGACTAAGGGGTGCAGACTTTTGCAGGCCACACAGGGCACTGCGGGCTCACCTGCAGGCATCAGGACTGTAAAACTCCAGCGATGTTGGAGTCATGAACGGTGGCCACATCTCCCCCGCGGTCCCATTGATCATGTTGCACTCACTGGTCCGCCAGTAATTCACCTGCGGCACAGATGCACAGCTGGAGCTCAGCCAGACAAGCTCGCTGGATAGTTTCCTTCCATCCCAGCACGGGCCATTTTCTGCTCTAAACTGCTATTTTAGACTTACTGCCACTAGTAAGACTTTAACCTCAGCATAGCGCTAAAGGGAAGACCTTGAGATAGCAATACTGAAGAGTTTCCAAGGTCACTACATTCAAACATCTGCCCAATTAATGGACAAATGGGGCAAGATCCCCTTGCCTGAAGTGTTCACATAGCTGTTGATCTGCAGATCCATTTGATTTTAGTTCAGAGTGGAATTCCACAGAAAGAATAAGCACCCCTTTCATGGGGATATTTAAAGCAATGCCCTAGAGAACACAGGCCACCACGGCCTGGAACTGCAACCAATAGACATGAATAGCCGTGAAAGCATTTCAAACCCTAGTCAATCAGCTGATGGGTGGAAATTAATGCTTCATGACAAGCCTCTCGGCAATTTGAAGTTGTGGTGGTTGAAGCCTTGCAGAAACCTACCTGCCAAGCTGCAAGCCAGAGATCTCGCAGCAGCACTGATGGCTTTCAGTTTGTCTTGCACTGGAGTGGCAAGTAGCCCGCTATTAGAGATTTGTTACCCAACACTTACTTTTCTTAACCCATTCCATGAATCCACCATGTGAACTCTGCTGATGTCTTTCATGCCCGTAAACACCGTGAACAGTCCTGAATTGGAGTTGTTAAACTGCAGAGAAGAAATTAACTTTTAATCCATTATATGCAGCAAGACTACAATATATTAACACCTCCACACGCTTCGTTAGCTTGGTGGGTGCAGTAAGCTACTGAGCTCTGTTTATTTCAGTTGCTATGGCTTGGCATAGTTTCCAACCTGTCGAGTTTGTACTGAAGGGAGGATTAAGGAAGCCTTACAGAACCACCATTAACCACACCCAAGTGCTCTGAAGCTTTTATAAAGGAGATCGCCTGGACACTTGATCCCCGGAGCAATATAGGTGGGATTTTAGTGTTTCTAAGCAACAGTTTACTTACTTCAACAAATAAGCCAAATTTTCCCTTGAAAGGCATCAAGCCAGGCACAAGCACATTCAGTGTTTCTACAAGAGGGTCTTCGTATCCCCACATGATCTCTCCTACTGTCCGGTTCATGAACGCCTCCTGTTTCAGGCCAGCCAGGGCCCCGCTCAGTAAGAGCTTCACAAAGTTTGGCAGGTTTTCCATCATTACGGCTGCCCCCTGGGGAAGAAAATAAACCTCTGAGGCAAGAACTGTCTTTACTTAAAAATATTAAAAATAAATAAATAAAAACAGTAATGCAACTTCATTGCTCAGCAAGGTTCCTCCACTGCACTGTCTACAAGGAAGCCATTCACAATTATTCCAGTCATTCATCATTATCACTCATTCACTATTTATCCCAAATTTGGAAAGATAAAGTAGGCAGTGGCAACAGCCACTGAGGTCTTGTAGGCGTCACTTCACCAGAAGAAGCTTGGACAAGGTTACAGACTCACATCCAGCTTCTTTGCATGTCACCCCTCTGCAGGCTCTTGCTTTTGGAAAGGCCTCATCCCTCTTGCAAGCGTAATTGTTGCTGGGCAGGACATCATCAAGGGTAACACCTAAGTCATTACTGTGCCTTGTTTCATCTCTGCATCTTGAGGGATTATTTTAGGTAAGCTGTTGGAGCTGTGCTGAGCTGGGATTATTTTAGGTAAGCTGTTGGAGCTGTGCTGAGCTGCCCAACTAAGCGGTACCAGCTAGCCCTTTTATGCACAAGTTTCTCCAGAGTCACGACTGGGTGACAGTCCAACATGATCACAACACCCAGAAAGCATTCTTTAAGCTTAAACTACAGCTTCATGGGCCTCAAAAGCCCAACAGGAAAGCAAGCTGCAAGGTATTACTGGGTGCCATCCTCCCCCCCGCAAGCGGGGATGCCGGTACCCCTCTGCAGAGCAGGTTACCATGAGCAGGATGTTTGGCACGACGATGTAGTCTTCCTCCCTGCCCGCGGACAGGTCCGGACGGAAGAAGAGCTGCCGGTACTCCAGGAAGGACACTGTGTCATTGTCATGGAATGTGATATTTGTTTTATACCTGAACTCTCTGCAAAGAGAAAGGAGATCACAGGAACCCTCCCCAGCGTAAGGGAGCCTTCCGCTACCCCGTGAAGACACCAGGGTATTACTGCCCAGGTCAGAAGCCAGCTGATGGGTAGTTTGAGACAAAAACATCTGTTGCTGACAGAGGAACAAACAAACTCCCTCTGACATTTCATCTGCAGCTGATGAGAAGCCCAGCCTCATCAGGAAGACGCCCAGACAAGCAGACCACCCCACATGCAGAAACAGTCTGCAAGACACAGCCATACTCAGCAAGAAGAGACCAGCACTGCTGACGAGCCCATACACCAATTTGCTCCGAGTTCCCTGATCTCTCCTGGGCTCAGGACAGCCGTCCGCAGCACTATGCTCCACCCGCACAGTATGGGGGCTAGCCTGCTCCCCAGAGCTTCAGAGCCACCCACGCCAATTTTCTGCACGCTGCCTTGCAGCGCTACCTTTCAGTCCCTGTCACATGCTACTGAGGCACACCAGGTCTCGCATGGGGGCTGCGATCCTCCGCAGTATTGCAAGGTTGTCCCCAACGGTGTGAGCCACTGCTCAATTCCGCCAGTGGAAACAAAGTCCTTTATTGTGGAGCCTCCGTTTTATGGCCCATGTTAGGGAAGGGCACTAATCTTGCTCAGCAGAAACCTAAGGACGCTAATAAGCTTTGCCCCTTTGTTTATTCTTATTTACTGTAAGTGAAGCCTTTTCCCCAAGCCTGAGGCTGTGGACATGATCACAACATACAGAAGCCACATGGTCTTACAGTGCTGACCTGGCAAGTCCAGTGAAAACAAGGCCATACACAGACTGCCAGGTTTCCCCCAGCACTACTCAAACAGCTTTGGATTAGACCACTAATCTTCCCACATGGGCTTGCTTAGGCTGCTGACCTGATCTTGCCTACATGTGTAGGCGCTAACATATTGAATATTGCTATTTATGGATAACTTCACACATTCAACTCCACATCTCCCATCACTTCATGTTCCAGGTCTACAGAGGCATCGGGGGGTTCAACCACCATCCTCAGCCACGGCAGCAGACCCCGCCCTGCTGCAGGTGGGCCTGACCAAGTTTTAGTGCTCCATACTGAATCTCCTAAACAGTGGCCACTGGAGGCAGACTCCAGGTCTCATCATGTTAAATGAGATGTCTTGGACCAGTTCAGGAAGTCTGATAACATAAGAGGTGACTTCAGCCTCACATCTCCAGCTCTGGAGCTGGACTGTTAAACAAAGAGCTAAGATGAAACTCATGTGCCCCTCTGAAGATGAGGATTGCCCACCATCACGTGAGCACCCCTCACCCCTGCACTAGGACTGCATCAACCCAGGTATGGCTAGCTAAGAGGCCCAAGTTCCCAGCACAGGCCTGAGCTCCACAGCCCAAACCAGAAGGACTGCCAAGCCTTCCAGCCGTGGCTGCCAGTGGTCCTACTCTTGGCATCAACAACAGTAAAGCAACCAAACGTTCTGTAATTGCTCTGAAACGCTACATCAGCAGACTCACGCCAAGCATGCTAATGCCATGCTTTTTCACTGAGGAGTCAGCCAGAAGTCTAGCCATCAGCACCCGACCTGTAGACGTAGGGCCCACGTTGATTCACGACTGGCTTCGCTCCCTGCAGGACCTCCTGGGGATTCTTCACTTCAAAGAAGTGCACCGAGAAGTAAAAAGGAACGGGAATGTCTTTCCACATGCCAAAGGCGATGCTGTGGGGGTCGATCCTCACGTTCTGCAGGAGAAGGAGACACCACATTTAGGCTGGGCTGCCCCAGGGGAGCGTGTTCATCTTGGGAGCTTTGGGAGCCTGCAGTCCAGAGGCGCAGCCCTCCTTGTCAGGGGCAGCTGACAGCTGCTGTGGGGGTTCTCCAAAGGACCCAGTCACGTCTGGCATAGTGAAACAGAACCAGACCTAAAATGGAACTTACGTACGCAGAAGCATCAAGCTCATGCTGCAGGATGTCTGCAGGCTTATTTATTCAGGCTCAACTTTCCAGACTCCTACCCATAGGATTTCAAAGTTTTTTTAACATGCTAGAGGCTTGCACTGTGCCAGCCAAACCAGTATTTGCAACTCCGCATATTTGACTTGCCTGGCACAAACAAGCCTGCCCTGAAGGCCTTAATTCATTTGCCATGTTTGACTGTTCAGCACAGCTGGAACCAGGCCTGGGAGAGGAGAGGTTAAGCAACCTCCAACCACATGACTGTTTGGGGATTGGACAGGAGGGCCTGCAACTTCCCTAAAACCAGCCAAAGAGAACAGGAGCAACAACCAAACTGTGTCCCAGCAGGGCTCACGTGCCTTTTCTTCTTCTTAGTCATCATCCCGCAGTGGCTCACAGTGGGACATAAGATGACAGGTTAAAGGCAATGGATAATCACGTTTTTCATAGCACTTAAAATTCACTGGTAATGCCTGCGAGAACCCAGAAACCACTCATAAGCTTCCATTAGTTCCCAGCCCAGGTGTTGCACGTCTGGACAGGCCTTGTCTCCTGCCTGGCTCTCTGGGCTGGTTTCAAGACAACAGCAGCACTCTGCCCGCTCTGGTTGGGGACACCAGGACAATCGGCCACAGACAGGCCTGGCTGGATTGTATTCACGTTCCTCCTCCAACAGCTTGTGTGCTCTCTGAGCTATACCAGCCAAGTCAATCTGGAAATAACTAGGGTTACTTCTAAAGACTGAGATGCTTTGACTCAAATCTAGCACAGCCTCCTTCAGTCAGCAGCACCACTGGTTTATTGCTCAGCTCCAGAAGTGCACCTTGAGCACCTATTTTGGGTGCTTACGACCGTAACCAGGCTCGCTTTCAGGAACAGTTTTGACCCACTCTCCAGTGAAGGCTCACAGGCATCACACCACGGCAGGCAGCTGGGCCCCACAACAGCTTTCCTCCTCCAGGGCCCCTGGCAGCACGGCTGCCCAGGAGCAGCAGGGCTTTGCCAGCCCTTGGCTCAAGATCCCGGCAGACCATCTAAACCCTAACCCTGAGCAGACCCCTCCCCGGTACGGTGCAATGCACCTAATGCAAACCCTTCCCATCTTCACTTCAACACCTGGCTGCTGCTGGCTCAAGAGTCTAAATCCTGCAAGCATAAAGGATTTTACAGCCTGGAATCCACTGAATAGCAACTAAGCGAAAGATAGCCTCTTTTATAACCCTTATTAGCCTGTTGTATAACCCTTGCTCATTCTGTTTGTCCAGGAGTCTGAATAACAACATCTGCTTTCCTTTACTTTTGGGATCTTACCATTTTGTATCCAGCCGCCCACATGATGCTGGACTCTCATATTCTGCCCCTTGCTGCGCATAGAGATAAATATATATACATACACCCAGGCAGAGCTGCATCCCGGCTCCCTGATACTTTCTCAGCCCTCTCCCATGTGGACACAGTAACTCTAGGTGCTCCACAGATGCTGCTAAGTAAAATCTACTTAATGAGGCAGCCTTAGAATTAAGCTTCTTGTAGGCTCACACAAACACGGTCATATGCTTGAAACAGGACAGCTTTAACCAAGATGGGGTTACAAAACAGCACTGAGAGGTTTACTGTCTCCTGACCTTCTTGATCTCAGTTCCCAAGGCGCAGAAAGATGCTGCTGCCAGTCTCCTCTGGACAGGACCAGGGGAGCACAAGCTACATGAGCAGCGCCTGAACTGTGCTTCCCCAGGAGGAAGGCTCAAGCCACTTGGCTCAATAAAGCAGCTGCTGCTTTGAATTTCTAGAGGAAACCTCAGCTCTGCCACATTCAAGCGCGACCTCAAATGTCAGACCTTGTCCTCCACACCCTCTCTCACCCTGCTCCTCATTCATCCTGCTACAAGTTACAGCACTACCTTTGCTATTTTTAGTCTTATGCCAGCTTTCAGGTGGGCAAGTGGAAGAGTTTGCAGACGGAGGAAACGTTAAGCAACAGATGTCTGTCAAAAGCAACACAGGCACTTGACTAGTTGGACATGCCCAAGGACAGCCTGGATTGCTGCAGCCTGAGAGGTGATTATATTTTGCAGAAGAGTCAGTTATTTATTGCAGCCAATTCATGCACCACACTACTGTACGCCTACACCCTGGCTCGGAAGAAGAAAAAAGCTATCAGCTTTTGAACCACCTACACCCTGGCTCGGAAGAAAAAAGCTATCAGCTTTTGAACCAACTGCAAATTAGTTGATGCAGTTTAACCATGTTAAAGCTCATATCTTAGGCAGGTCCACGGTACTTCAGGTGCTTCCAGAAAAGCCACGTCCCCAGGTTTTGCTGAGCCAAGGTTGCAGGCAGCCCTATCACCAGGGCAGTAAGTGCAGCCTCCAAAGTGGGTTCAGTTCCTGCAAACAGGGTAGGAGCAGGGCTCCATGTTCCCCGTTTCTACTGTGCGTCTCCCCTATCAACTTTACCTGCAAAGATATCCCCAAAGCCACAACCTTGACAGAGCTGCAGAAGGCAAGATTGGCAAGCCACCCTCCACCTGTCCTGCTCAACTCCTTTGCACCAGCACCGGTGCCTTCGAGGCTCAGCTTTCCTGTCACCCAGTGCTCTGAAGACCAACCCAGAAGTTCCAGTAAGGCCCTGGATATTTCTGGCCAAGCTAGACATCAGCACTCTGCTATTTTTTCCACTTCACATCAAGCCTCACTGGGACCACCTGGGACCATTTGTATCATACTGAAGAGTTGGAGCCCAAGCACTTGAGATGAGGGGAGACTTCAGGAGGCACAAGGCTCAGGCTTTTCCTCGTCTTCAGTGCTCATTGCAAGTTATCAGGAATTAGCTAGAAGGAGGCAAGAAGTTCTCCTGTAATGAAGATGTGACTTCCCACGCTGCGGTGGCCATTCAGCCTTTTATTTACACATACCAGCTTCTCACATCCACAAAACTGGACAGAGACTGGCTTTTACTGATTAAGCATCAAGCCAGCTTAGCTTTCCTCAGCCAGACAGCTGAGTACCTTTCAGAGAATAAGTTCAAATAGAAATTTGTTTGCGGAGTAGACACTGCGGCACGTGTAACCACATAAGTTAGCTATCGGGCACTCATCCACCTCCTTGGCCAGAAGCGGGATTTTGAAGAGCTAGACCCAACAAGCGCGAGGTCCAAAGGCATGTCAGGGCAGCTAACTTCTCTCCTTCAGGTGGAGAGAAAAAGGTTTTGCTAAAACTAGGGCTGAGCAAGACTCAGGACCCCTCTCTCTCTCAATAAGAGAGGTCTTCAGAGGGGCAACTCCTCTAGTTTTTGGTCTAGGAGAAGAGGACTTCAGCCGCAGAACCCCTCCGCGGAAGTTACTCCATGCATTCGGAACAGGCACGTTCACAGACAGGTCGAGATGCCTTGCGTGGGCAAAGCGACCTCAGGGCAGCAGGTCCGAGCGCTTCCAAACCCCAGCCAGGCAAGCCCTGGGGCTGCTGCAGGCCCTGCGACGCGATCCAGAGCTGCAGCAACCTGGGCAGCACAAAACCACATAACAACATACTTTCCTCCTCTTTCTGCCGTGGCTCCTATGGGAGAGATGAAAGTCTCATTTGTTGTGCTCGCTATACGTCTTTAAGTACCTGCTGGCTCCTCCACCTCTCCCAGATGAGAGGTGCTTTGATTTCTAGATCAGCCTCACGTGTCAAGGAGCCCCTTAAACACAAGCAAGCTCACTACCAGGCAGCTGTTTGTATAATCACCTCCACATAGCCGTTGGCTAGCTACATAATTATTATTATTAATTGCACTGGCATCCTAGTAAATTCATAAGATATGCAATCAGAGCAATCTTTCCCTCTGGAGCACTCCAACTTCGTCGGTCCTACTGCCAGTTCAGGAAGCATCTTGGCAGAGTAGGTAGAGGCTTGGCCATCTCTGTGCACGTTTACACAAGAAACAACCAGTGCCTCAGGTAAAGGCAGTGCAGATAGGAACAAGGATGATGCCCAGGGTGGTGGGTGAGATTGCCTGTGCCCAGCCCCACTGGCGCTGAGCCGACACCAGCTGTGCAGAAAGCCTTTGCTATTGGGGAGGAGGAAAGGGGGGGGGCAGGACTGTCCATCCAGCCCCAGCACAGCTGCTGCAGTGTCCCACATCTGGATTCACCCACACTACGATTTTAAAGGCGCTCCAGCTGCAGACACGCCGGGGGAAGCAGACTCCCTGGTGCTCAGCTGTCTCAGACCCCTTGATAACCCTGTACGGTGGAAATTTTTGCTTGTGCACCAGTACCAGCCGTTCCCTAGCACTGGGTGTGCACCTGACCGCCAGCCACGCACCAGCCCCCTGCACGCT